TTAATATCTTACTTACCTTTAATTTTATTGCAAGCTAATTGATTCCACACACCTAATTTGACCTTATAACCAAACCACATTAACATAAAAATAAAAAGACTTTGTAAAAATTTAAATACAGAAAATCACAAGAAATCAGCAAACAGGAGGAAAATTACAGGAAAACTTGAGGGGTTGTAAGGCAAATGGTTGCTAATGATTTGACATACCTGAATAAAACTAAATCTTAAAACCAAGAGTGGAAAAATCTACCGATAGTCTAGAATTGTAGTACAGAAACCCAACGGAGTCAGAAACTAAGGTTGTGAGGTACTTCTGGAAGTGGGTGCAGGGAGAAGTGGTTGATAGTCTGTTTGAAAAGCAGCCAGATGCTCAGATACATTTTCCCCCCTTCTTATGTGGGAAACGTTCCCTCTCCCAGCCTGACAGTAACTGGCAGTTTATTCTCTGGGCAAGGTTAAACAAATCTGAACTGGGAAATAATCCGAGTATTAAAGTTCCAAGGACATAAAGAAGGATAGCAGAAATGTAAAAGTAAATAGCACTGTTGGGTGATAAAGTAAAGCTGAGTGGAAGAAAAGTAAAAGATAAAAATATGAGGATATGTAAATTATAAAAGACTTGGGCCAGGGTTCCAATATTTAAATACTAGGCATTCCAGAAAGAAAGGGGAAGAGTGAAATCATCAAATAAATAATTCAAGAAATTTACTTTAAAAGAAGTACCTGAGTTTGCAGAATAAAAAGGTCTGGTCCCTGAGACCTTAGCAAATGGATAAAATACCCACATCAAGACTGACCCTCATGAAATTTCATACTTTTTAAATGAAAAGATCTACAGGCTTCTAAAGAGGTGCATTCGAATTTAAAGCACCAGGAACCATATGAACGAGCCTGTGGGATACAGATCTCATCAACCATCTTGGGATGATTGAACGAAGAAGGGATGTCACTGAGGCCTATGGGAGAAGAAGGAGGGAAAGAGCTAGATCTAGATATTTCATGGTATGAAACCAATGAACTATAACTGTAACTAAACCCAGAAGAAGCAATAAAACCATATTATTATCATTTGGTAAACAATAAATGATCAACTTACATTGAATTTGAATTGCCACGGAAAGACCTAAAGGGTAAGGGGAGCCAGCAAATTTCTCTTTTTCATTAAAAGCAACAACTAGGGCCCTCCCTGGTGGCGCAGCGAGTTAAAGCACAGCACTGAGAAGCTAAAGCCACCTAAGCAAGAGTTCGATCCCTGCCCGGGAGGTGACCACATGGCACAGCAGACCTCTCCTGATCCACCCACTGCTCCCCTCAGCAGTGTACTTTGTCGATCTGCCTGTTCTGCTTCCCACCACCCCTGCACCTCTGGCCTGTACCCCAGTTCTGTATGCACAAATAAATAAATCTTTAAAAAAATTAAAAAAGCAAGAACTAGATTTTTTTAACATAAATATCATACCTTGAACAAAATTATAAAATTTAAAACCATAATGTACCACCAAAACTATTCAACATGGTCCCACCAAGTAATGGATATGAATTTCTACTGAAAGGTCTCTACTGTCCCTTCACTAGGGCAGAAAGTGTACCAGCATCTCTCTAGTTCCAAATGTTGACATGTACCAGCATGTTCTCCCTACATGATTCATCCTCAGCTCACCCTATGGTCTAGTATCCCCACAACAGTCCTATTTCACATCCATTAGTTGCACCCTAATTACTGAAAGTGCCTCTTTTTACTCTCAAAATTATTGTTTGGGTCAAGGTATTTGATCAGTTTCATATTGCTCTTTCAGACTTCCTTATAGTTTGCACTTGCCATTCTCCTTACCTTTACTTTTGTTTCCTAGTGCCCTCCTAGGGGGAAAAAAAAAAAAACCTGTATATTTCTGTTCAAGTCCTCCTCTGTCCTTGAGTCAGAAACTTCTCCTGTCCCCTGTTATACTGCAGATGCAACTTTGTTACAGCAGTTATCTCACTACACTGCAGCTGTCTGTGTGCTCATCTCCCACAGAACAAGAGATCCTGAGGTCAGGGATTCTACTGCTCCAGTACTGAATTCAGAACAATCCACACAATTTTCACTGAATCTGCCATATTAAATTAATCTCAATTATTAGAGATTTGTATTTTTGACAGTCCTTTTTTGCATAAAGTTTTCCTTTTTTATTGGAAAATGATTCATCAACCTCTTAATTAGTCTGTAATGGGAATAATTTTTATCTTTATTTTTTTTTTACATTTACTCTTCATTTTGTCCACTTTTTCATCTCACTTGTAATCCTTGTGAGTTTCCCACCACCACTTCACCCGGTGCCATCACCACAGTCCCTGTGCTCTTCCCACCCCCTCTTTGGTCTTGTCCTTTCCTCCACTGTAGAATATCTGATTAATAGTTGCTAGTTGGTGACAGTCTTATTAAGAAAACTTTCTGACAACTCATTTCTGATAGGGTTTATCCCACCACAAAAAATTCTTCTATGCAAACTATAGGGTGATCTAAACTACAGATTAATAGGTGAGCTTGATATTTCTATTATTACATATGCTCAAAGATATAGTCTGTCATGGTGTATCTATTTCAGCAGATTAAGTAAATTCACAAATGATTTCAACATTATGTATAGTCAAGGGAAATATGGCCACCATAGCAATCATATATTTTTAATTTAATGATGTATGTATATGAAATTTAATTTTTTCAACTGAGTTCATATTACCTTGTCTAGTTTCAAGTGAAACTTACTTGTAGCTGAAATTAAAAGGGGAGCTGTGAGGAAACAAGTAAAGGTATATATGTACCTACTTCCATAAAATAAATGAGTTAATAAGAACTACCAATTAATTCAAAAACTAACTATACAAAATAGAAAGATCAAAATGAATAGAGAGCAATTGATTTAGGAAAAAATAAGAGTTCCAGAAAAGAAAAGAACTTTAAAATAATTCTCACAGGCAGTCTAAGAAAAACAAAGATTATATCCATTTCTAAACCAGAGCAAGTATATACAAAAGACAGAGAGAGAGACATGACAGAGTAAGCAAGAATATATGAAAATTAAGAATACAATTACAAAACATTAGGAAAAAATAGCTGATTTGGAAAAAAAAAAAAAAGTAAGGTTTCTCCAAAAGTAAAGCACTAAAACTAGGAGATGAAAAATATTTTATAAAAATTAAACTGTGGGTATAAATAAAATCAAGGAGTCCCAAATCTAAGGGAGTGTCATTAGTGACGGAACAAAGACAATGAAGGGGAAAAAAATAATCAAATAGTAGAAGAAAATCCCTAGAGCTCAAGTCATGACTCTTCACATAAGAGACCACAACAAACACAGTTCATAAACCTCCTCACTAAGTGCCAGGCATCTCGTAGGTGAGCCTTATTCCTTTCTCTGTACCTGTAACTTCATGGACCCACAGACTCAGCATTTTCACTTCCCTTTGCCTCTTCTATTTCTCACTTATTTGCTAAATGATCTCACCTGGCTCATCACTTAGAATGGCATCAGACATTGATAACCCCAACTTAATTTCTCCATTTCCACCCTCTCCCCAAAACTCTACATAGCAAATTGACTCCCATCCTGCTATCTAATAAACATTTCCAGCATGGTATGTTTAAAATAGAATTTTATCTCAATCTCTACTCCAAAACAGTCATCTCTAGCATCCCCATTGCAGTAAATAGCAAAACTATGAATGTGGTTGCTCACACACCACGCTTAAAGTCCTCTCTTCCTCATGTTCTGCATGCAGTCCAACTTCAAGGCTAATATCTCGCATGAATTTATAAGAAAAGTCTATCAAAGAAGAATACCAGTTCCCTGACACTATGATAAGTATTCTAAGTATCTCCTATTCCTGCCAACCTTGTTTATATTAATTGAATCTCTAATTCAAAGCAATAATATTATTTTCAAGAAAATAAAAAAATGTATCTCTGCCCATGGTACAAACTATATGTTCTACAATAAGTAATACTTACAAAATATTTTAAATGTTGGATATTGGTTAAAATTTTTAAGTCATCAAAGTATGAAAAATTTATTCATATCCATTCAATTAAATATATCATCTATAAATAGTAAAAATGTAAAGGTACTTTAGAGATAGACGTTAATAGGAAAAGACAGAATTGGAGGAAAACACAAGGGCAATAAATCTGTTATCTTACATAGTAGGAAATCAATGGCACTGTCAAAAATTTATGGATCAAGAAATAACATTTTTATGAAGTTAAATAACGAGAATATTTTTTAAATGAGCATGATGGAGAACAGCAGGAAAGAACAAGTACAAGAGAGTTAAATTTCTCTCGTGTCACAGAGGGGAACTAGTGAGTACTTTTAACTGATATATTAGCAAATATGGCATATGCATATCTTTCAAGATTTGGATTTAACTCACCCCCCCAAAAAAAAATAAAAATGGCTTTTAATAAGTGGAAAGATAGAAAAAGTGAGTTTTAATTTTCATTTAGCATCCTTTTCAGTGTCTGAATTTTTAAACAACCTTATATTGTTGGCATAATAGTAAACAAATAAGCAAAAAAGACCGATAAAAAAATAGAGCAGATGATCATATCCAATATAATTTATGTCATGACTTTATCTGAATAAAGTATTAAAAGAGGACATTGTTTTTTTGTTTCACTTGTTGGTCAGTAGTCTAAGAGATCAAAATGTTGACCTGAGTTATGTTAGTCTATCTTGTAGTTTTAATCCACTACATAAATGTAAAGGTTGATTCTCCACTGTCTGCTCAAAACATGTTGATCTCAGGTCTGTATTTCAGGGAAGAAGTCTGAGAAAAAGACCCTTCACTTCTAGAACCAGCAAATCCTCATAGTGATTCACTCTAATTTATTCTCAAAGCCCTGCAGGAACATCACCCCTCCCAAGGGAGGCACTCAGTATTGCACACAGTAAATACCTTGCTATCCTAACACTCCTTCTTGTCCCACTTCTATTCCTATAAATACGACACTATTTTTACCTTGAATAATGCATGGCTTGGTGGCCTGCAATATTAAAATAGAAGTCAGTTGTGTGCTTCATCTCATCGGTGTGCCCAGTGACCTCGATCCAGTGTCCTATAGGGAGACAATAAACACCATCCACCAAGTTGTTTTCATTATAAGTACAGCAACGGTCGTGGTGAGGCCCATTGCCTAGAAGAAGCAATGACAAACAGAGCAATTAAGTCAATGTTTTGCTTAACTGGCCAAAATATAGCTGAGGCAAAATTAAAAGATGAAAATAAATACAAAGCTGCTTCATCTACACATTTCAGTATTAGCAAAAAAGTAGGCTGTTGTGGAAGGGAAAGCAGTAGGAATTTGGACCGTTAGTCGTGAATGTCAGGAGTGCTTTTCTTCATTTAATCCAGTGGACATTTCCCAAAGCACCATAACACTCTCAAAAGTGCATAGTTCCCCTAGTGCCCTCAGAATCCATTGTGAATTAATTTGCAGTCTGATAAACAGCTGACATCTACAGCCATTCATGTCTCTGTAACTTTGACTTTTCTGCTATGCAAATTCATCACCAAAATCAATAATAAAGTATTTTAGTGTAATTTCAAACAATAACTTTTAAAAAATAAACTGTAATAAAGAATAAAACAAATGATCCACATTCAATATATTTTGCATGTAAATCAGTGGGTGGTTTTGTTTTTAGATGGGAAATAAGTATCACCGAGATTAACTAGCTTGCTCAAGGTCACAGACCCAGTAAATAGAGAGCTATTAGTCACTTGATATTCCTCATCCCCCACCTCTCAGGCACCTGATACCTTCATGCTCTTTTCTGCCTACTTCACAAGCCCAGGACACACAATCCTCTTTCCAGGGAGTGGCGCAAAAGAGAAACAAAACAGGCCACTGAAAACACCATTTGCCTACATCACAATTGTCCCAGCATCAACTACATAGGAGACTAATCTTCTATTTCTGTGGAAACTGTAATCCTCACATTACTTGTATTAGTCTTTAGGAGACCACCCACTTAAAGTCATTCCTTTGCTTAAGCACCAAGTGAAGCAGCAAGTGCTGATGTAGGAACTGAACAAGTTATCCACAAGATTTGGCTAAAATCTATGCATTGTTATTATGTAGCTTTATCTCTGCTTTGGAAAATAAAAACTCCCCTACACTAAAAATTCAGAAATAGGTGGAATAAAACTCTATACTTTGCTCTTTCTTCCCCAGCTCCCCTAACCACTAACTGGCTCCAGCTGCATTCCTGGAAGATCAGAACATTGATAATGTTACAGATGAAGCTTAGTGAGAAAGACATATAGTTAAGGAGCATAGATTTCAGCTGAAAGTCCCAGATGCACGAGCCTGAACTTTGAGGCTTTGAAGTCAGCCACTGGTTTCTTTTTGGCCAGGAAAGTCCTAAGTTGGACTCTTGTGCTAGTTAACCAAATTGTGAATGCAAAGGAAAAGTCTTAAAGGACATTAAAGGTACTGGTGTAGCGAACACACAAATGATAAGAAAGTGAAACAGTCTTTTGCTGATAATAAAGACATCTCTAGTGGTCTGGGATACATCAAGCCAGACACATTTGCTGAAGTCAAAGTCTAATCTAGAGCAAGTTGCTAACTCTCTTCAATTCTCTGCAGGCTGAGAATAGGGAGGAAGCTGCAAAGAACAGTTTGAAGTTAGCAAAAGATAGTTTTTGAAGTTTAAGGAAAGAAAACAAAAGTGAAGATGCTATGAATAGTACTGAAATGACCACAGAGGACTTAGATTATTTTTAAATGTAGTTGATAAAGAAATCGTAGGGTTTAAGAGGATTGATTCCAACATTAAAAGAAGTTCTGCAGGGGGTAAAATATATCAAGCAGCATTACATGCTATAGAGAGATATTTCATAAAAGGAAGAGTCAACTGATGTGCCACACTTCATTCTTGTCTTATTTTACGAAATTACCACAACCATCCCCAAATTTCAAAAAACACTACCCTAATCTATCAACAGTTATCAATATCAAGGGAAGCTCTTCTAGTAGCAAAAAAAAAAAAAAAAAATGATTAAAGATTCAAATGAAGAAATGAAGGTCAATATGTTTATTAACAAATTATTTGATAACAAAGGTATGGACACTTTTTAGAAATAATGCTATTGCATACAGATATGCACTGGAGAAACAAAAAAAAATTATGTGATTTACTTTATTGCAATATTTATTGCAGTGGTCTGGAACTAAGCTTTCAGTATCTCTGAGTGCACCTATACAAAATCTTAAGACCCCCCAAAAAGAAATCTCAAGGCCCACAAATTCTCGTTGAAACTTTCTATCAACTGTTTCAAGAAGAACAACATCAAATCTCTACAACTTCTCCAGTCTCTTAGAAACAACATCAAATCTATATGATCACTTAGGTATAAAGGCACAAGGAAAGAAAGAAAGAAAACTTGTTATTTACAGAGGGCATGATTATGTGTAGAAATCCCAGGGAAACAATAAAATCCTAAAAAATAGTAAGTTAAGTAAGATCAGAAGGCACAAAATAAACATACAAAATAAATTGCATTACTAGATACCAGCAATGGACATGTACATTGAAATTAAAACATAACACCATTTTTGTACCTAGGTATAAATCTAGCATGCTGAATATCATAAAACATGGTAAGAGAAACCAAAGAAGATATAAGTAAATTGACATACCATATGGATTCTTAGATTGGATCAGTCCCATACAAAAACTTATACAGAGTGCACAATGGACTTAAATGTAAAAAGTTAAACTATAAAACTTTTAGAAGAAAAAGGGGGGAAAAAACGAGTGGAGGCCCTCCCTGGTGGCGCAATGTGTTAGGACACAGCACTGCAAGCTGGCTGTAATCTCCTCAATGCGAGTTCAGTCCCTGGCCCCAGAGGTGATTCACATGGCACAGCAGACCTCTCCTGACGCACCCACTGCTCCCCTCAGCAGTGTACTTCCTCAGTTGGCCTGTTCTTCTCCCCACTCTGTCTCTGGTGAATCCTCTCACCTGCACCCAGTTCTGTATGCATAAATAAGTAAATCTTTAAAAATAATAATAATAATAAAAAAGAAAGGATAGACAATTCTTAGACTTGACACTAAAAGCACAATTCTAAAAGGAAAATTTGTGAATTTGATTTCATCAAAATTATATAAACTTTTGTTTTGCCAAAAAAAAAAAAAACCTACTGAGATAAACTAGCTACAGCCTTGAATAAAATATGTGCAAACCATATATTCAACAATAGTTTATGGAATATTAAAGAACGCTCAAAACTCAATAAAAGTTCAACAATTTAATTAGAATAAGGTGAAAAACATAAAATGATATTTCGGCATAGAGTACATACAGATGTTCAACATTACTAGAGTTAGGGAAATATAAATTAAAACCACAATGAATTAGCACTATACCCTTGCAAGAATAGCCAAAATAAAAATCAAATGCTGGATGTGAGAATATAGAGAAACTGAATCAGTCACAAGCTGATATAAATGTAAAATGGTCCAGTCACTTTGGGAGTATTTAGCAGGTTTTTAAAAATACTGAACTTGCAGTACCATATGCCCCAATTTATGCTCCGGACCAGACATATCCTGGAGAAACTAAAGTTCTATTTGCACAAAAACTTGTAGAAGAATTTGTGTAGTGACTTTATTCAGTATAGTCCAAAACTAGGAAATAGCCAGATGCCTTTCAAAGAGTGAATGGCTTAAGACGCTAAAGTACACCCATACCCCAATTTAGCCATAATAAAAGAACAAAGAAAGGATTACTATATGCAACAGCCTGGAAGAATCATCAAATAATTAAGTTTAGTGAAAAAATGTGAAACTCCTTAAAGTATATGCTGCATGATTCCATTTTTAATAAATAGATGATTAATAGAGAATATGTACATTCTCATATATGTACATATATATACATATATATGGACAGAGAATAGATTTTAATGATTGCCAGGAGCTGAGGGGCTGGAGGGAGGAGGAAAGTAGATCTGATTAGAAAAAAACAACATGGGAGATCTTTAGGGTGATGAAATGTCACCACTGAGGGAAACAATGAAACTTGCACACAATCATTCCATAATATTTCTTACAATAGCATAGAAATATAACATTACTTCAAAGTAAAATCTTTGATTAAAAAAAGTAAGCCTTTCAGGTTTTTCCCAATACACTGGAAAATCTGTAGCTTTCTGATATACTTTCTAGCTATAGAAATACCCTAAGGGGACAATATAAACATATTATTTATGACTACAGTGGTCATTTACACCTAGAAATTGAATTGACTTTTCCAAATCTCACCTACCTCATAAAAGTGTCATCTGGCTATGTTCTGACAAGGTTAATGGTGGGTGAGGAGGTAGAGAGTGGCAAGGAGGAACCAATTATCTAACCAGATTAGATTGGAGCTGGCCATTACAAAAGGATTGCTTCAGGTAAAAATAAGCACCAGATTCCTTTAGAGTTCATGTGACCGTCACACCATTTGATCACCAAGGCAAGATAGTTAAACTAAAATAAAGTAAGTCAATGTGAAGGAATAAAAGGCCAGCTTTTGGACACTTCAGTTAAAGCCAAAGAAGTAAAAAACCTTGGAAGTTAAAAAATCAGAACTGACACATTATTTTTCATAATCCTATAAATTTTCAAGTCAAGGTCAAATTAGTTTATTTTTATTAAGGTTCTGAAATTCCATTGGACAAGCAGTACCTATCAGATTGTGTAGTCTACTTTAAAATTAAAATTTTACTTATTATTCATGTTATTTTATTTAAAACTATCCTCTTTGGAGTTTAATTACTTTATGGTGTTTATTTCTAGCACATGAAAATAAATTCTGAATGTAACACATTAATCTCTAATTTTATGTAGTAATTCACCCAAATCAGATCTTTCCTGTGCCCCATCTGTTACTACTCAGAAGCTACTGATTCATACAGTTATAATCATGCTTAGTGAAATAAGCCAGAAAAGAAAAAGAAAAATGAGATGGTTTCACTCATAGTAGGAATATAAGGGATGGGGCGGGGGGGCAGGGGTGGTGAAAAAGAGAGAGAGAGAAACAAACAAATGTAATAGAGTAAAACTGAAAACAATGAACAACTATAAACCAGAGACATTTTGTGGGGATGGAAGGGGAATGGGATCAGAACTGGGGTGG